TATATAAATATATTTTCTAATTTTTTATGTGTAGTCGAAAAGATACCAGAAAATGTTTTCCAATTGCTAGCATATAAATTGACTTATGACTGGAAAAGAGTAGCAAGGCTCCTTTTGCTGACTGAATCAGATATTGATCTTCTAACAGCTGATTTTTCAATGTTATACGAAGTAACATTTCAAATGTTAAATATGTGGAGAAGAAGGAATCCTAAAAGACAATGGAGTGATCTTAAAGAAATATTGGAACAAGTTGGCCGAAATGACTTGGTTGTTGAATGTGAACGGAGTGAGTTTTTATATCAATTTTTTTAATTAATTATTTTATACTGATAATTGTTAATAAATTATTTTTTATACTGATAATACACTTTGTGCTATCAGAATAAAACATTTTTAGTATACTGACAATGTGTTTTGTATAATCAGTTTAGAAATCAATATTTCATAATAGATGATAAGTTTTGTATTACCAGAACTATTAGGTGCCTAATAAACGGGAGTTTATTAGTTCTTTACAAAAAATTTATACCCACCCCAAGCTTATTAAGACTTCCCCTTCTCCCATATTTATATATATATATATATATATATATATATATATATATATATATATATATATATATATATATATATATATATATATATATATATATATATATATATATATATATATATATATATATAGTTAGTTAGTTAGTGGTAAACTGCGTGGATCTTATCCACAAGCTGAGACGTTGTAACGTTCAGCTATAGCAGCCCAGTACTTTTTTTTTTTTTTTTCTTTTTCTTTTAAATTAATATTTTCTTATTTTTCTTAAGCCATTCCTCTAAACTTGCTTTAAAACTATTCAAATTCTCAGAATCTACAACTTTTTCCGGAAGTTTGTTCCAAATTTGGCAAACTCTGTTTGTGAAGAAATGGATTCTGGAGCTAACCGATGCATGAAAATCATTTATTTAGCGAGGAGTAAAACATTGCATTCTAATTTTATGTTTGAGACCTCTAATGGAAGAACATGGGCCATCTAATTTAATGCTTGACTTGTAGACTGGTTTGACATTAAGATTGACAAATTCTAGATTGTTTAATATCTTATATAAATGAATAAGTTCTCCTCGTTTTCTTCTGAGATTTAAATTAATTAAATCCATTTTAACTAGCCGTTTCTCATAACTTAGCATTCGATTTGAGTATGGTATTTTTGTGGCCCTACGTTGAACTCTTTCAAGCATTGAGATTTCGGCCACATTCGGAGGACTCCACGCTGGAGCCGCAAATTCTAGATGAGGTCGCACATAATTAGTATACAAAATTTTCCACATATAACAATATCTACTTTCAAAGGCATATTTCAATAACCCCAGTATTTTTGAAGCTTTGTTAACACATACTTGCGTTTGATGCTTTCACCTCATATCCGGTTGTACAAAGACACCTAGATCTCTTTCTAATACACTGTTTGAGAGGTCATAAATCATTCCATTTATATTCATTGTGTATGTTTTAACAATACCTCGAAAAACTTTCTGATTGCCGAATCTCATCACCTTACATTTTTTGCAGTTTAGTTCCATACCCCAATTGTTGCACCATTTCACAATGTTGTCAAGGTCGGTTTGTATTTCCGCTTGTTTATCAATGGAATCTTCTATGGTTATTATTTTGCTATCATCAGCATATATTTTAAATGTGTTTAGCACAACTTTTATGAGGTCATTTATGAATAGTAGAAACAACATTGGACCCAAAACGGAACCCTGAGGCACGCCACTGGTAACTGATACCCATTCTGAAACTGTATTACTAATAGCAACTCTTTGTTTCCTGTTTGCAAGAAAACTTTCAATCCAGTTATATATTTTACCAGTTATACCATACGCTTTAATCTTTGTCAATAATCTTTTGTGTTCTACTTTATCAAAAGCCTTTGCGAAGTCAAGATATATGATGCATAACGGTTTACCTTTTGCAGTTTCAAATGTAATTGTGTCAATTGTCTCAATAAGATTTGTTGTGCATGATTTTTTTGGAACAAAACCAGTTTGCTCCTCACATATAAGTCTATTTGAAACTAAATGTTGCAGAATTGTGTCCCGAATGAGCTTTTCAAACATTTTACAAGTAACAGATGTTAGGGATACTGGTCTGTAGTTTTCTGGTTCAAGTTTTGATCCCCCTTTGTAAATTGGTGATATATTTGCAACAGACCAGTGGTAAGGGACACATCTAGTGTCAAAGCTTAATTTGAAAATATGAATAATTGGGTCCACAAAACCTTCTGCAGCATGGTTTAAAAAAAACGGACTAACTCCATCAAAACCCATCGCTTTCGCCTCATCCATACCTTCTAACATTTTGAGAATTTTTTCATAGGTAATCATATTAGATAACTTACTGGAATTGCACTGGTTTTCGCATCTTTGCAAGAATTCGGGTATTGGTTGGTCATTATCATTAACAAAGACTGACTGAAATTGCTTATTTAATATATCTGAAATGTCTGATATCTCAGTTGTAACTTGATCTTTTTTGTTCTTGATTGCTCTAATTTGAGTTTTAATGTTTTGTTTTCTATTTACGTATGAGAATAAAAGTTTTGGTGCAAGCTTTGCTCTCTTTACTAAACCCGTTTTGTATTCTCGAGTTGATCTTTTGATTTGCTTTTTAACATTAGCACACATTTTGTTAAAAGCCTTTCGAGATTCTTGACTTTGCCGATGCAAGTTTCATGTTGCTAAATATTTGGATAAAAAGTTTAGTGTAAAATTAATTGCTACAAAAAGAAAAGATATATCACGATGAAAAGTTACAACAATTATTTTTAACATAAATTCTTTTTTGTAATAAATATCTTTACATATCGTTATTTAAAAGTTAATGTGGTTTTTTTAAAAATTAATTACTTCTTTTATGTTACCGCTAATTTAAAAATTCAAAAATGATAAAAAGTAGCTTAACCAAAACAGCTCTAAGTGTATGTAAAAATTGCTTAAGGCGTACGTAAATTGCTCTAGGCATAATGCTTTAAAACAAGGCCTGATATATAAATATATATATATATATATATATATATATATATATATATATATATATATATATATATATATATATATATATATATATATATATATATATATATATATATATATATATATATATATATATATATATATATATATATATATATATACAGGCCTCGGCGGGAATAAATGAGCAAGAAAGCAGAGAAAAGCGCTCCTAAAACAAGTTTGGGGAGCTGTGCGAGCTGCTCCTCATTTAAATTGGCGTTCTTTTTTAATTTTAAATTTTTTTTTTTTTTTTTTCGCAACAATCGTATTTCTTGCAGTATTTTATGCAATTAATTTTTTTTAATGACATTGTATTTTTTATTTTAGTTACAATGATAATTGAACTCGTCATTTCGAAAAGGGCACAAGTCCATTTCGAAATTTTCAGGATCAAAAAAAAATAAGTTTATTAGAAAAAAAGTCTATGGTACTAAAAAAACTAAAGATAAGAGTAGATAAATAAAAGTCATACATAAGTTTTTAGAGTTTTATTTGTTATAAAATAATAATATATAATACATATATTTCTAATTTAAATTTATGGACTTGAGTCTTTTTCGGAATGAACGCTTTTTTGTATATAAAAAACCAAAGATTATCAGAATAATGATTTATTTTTACATAAAAACAATTATTGTTAAGTAATCATCACTTATTTCTTGGACTTCATTGTTTGTCGAAGTTGTTGGCAAAGCAAAAACCTTTGTATAGAATTTTTTTGGTATTCTTCTATTGAATATGGAATATACTTTCATATTTTTTTCAAATCTGATATACTTTTTTCATTGATAGGCAATTTTCCAACATATGCAGGAGTACTACTTAATGGTAAGGTTGACCGGGTACCCATCCTTTGTAATAGCTGGAAATTATAACTGACTAAGCAATCTATGGATTCATGTGTTGTCACTAAACCTGGTGTGGTATTAGAGAATGTGAAATGTGAGACTCTAGAAATACCAAAAGTAAGTTTTTTGTCATTGGGTACTCCTTTTCCATAGGAATCCACAAATAGCACAAGTTTCTTATAATGGTTTGACCACCATTTTTTTACATCAATAATATAATTTCAAATTTTTTGCTTGCTTCAGCTATAAGATTTTCATACTCTGTTGGTGTGTAAATCCGATCATTTTTTTGTATGTCGCTTTGTTGTTTCAAACCTTTTATTGTATGGCAAGAATAAGTGACCTCTTTTTGGTATGTAATATTGTATCTCATTTATATTGCTATTTAGTTTAGCTACCAGTGATAAAAGTATTCAAACCATGGCATGATTTCTGTTTTGGCCTGACAACCATCAGAAAATAGGTGCAGTTCTTTGGCTTCGTTGCCAATATTTTTTTAAATATAATTCAGCACAAAGGTACGTACTTCGTTTGGATATGCTCACGTACTTTTGTTAATGTATCTCCAGGTAATGCGTTGCATCTTGATCACTGAGATTTACCTCTCTGATCTATAGGCTGCTCTTTTTTTTTAACAAAATGCATAAACGTTTAACTTGTTTTATAGAAAATCCATGCATACAGCAAAAAGCTTTCTTGCGTACTTTTCTTATCACACCTTCAATCTTAATGTGATAAATAAAAGAAAATTCTTTTTTCTTAGGTTCTTTAGATCTAAACCATCTTCCCTCTATTTCCTTCTTTTCAATCAATGACTGCATGTATGTGTCTTGGGCATTTTTGCAATCAAGTTTGTTAACAAATTGAATTGTACTTTCTATAAAATCTTCAGATCCAAGCTCCATACACTTTGAACTTCATCTGTAAATAAATAGAATTATTGAGGGAATATTATAATAATTATATATCAAGATGTTTTACCTCCAATTATTGGTGGTAAAACATGAGTAAATAAGCAAAAATTTTTGAACGAATATAGTCATGCTCTATAGAACAAAAAACTAACCTGCAAGAAGCCCCCGTTTGACTTGGTGCCACATTATTTCCTTTGTGATTTTTATAAGCTTCTCCAGCAATTTTGGCTTTTTTTATTTTTTCGTGTTTATAATTTCCACTGTTTCTTATACCAGACACTCTTTTTCTAGATCTATATGCATTTTCAGCAAGTTTGCGATTTTCCATTTTTGTTACAAATAAAGTGAAATTACTTCACTACAGTTGCCCTTCATTTCACTTAAAAAAGGCATAAGTCCGAGACTTGTGTCATTTTCAAACAGACTTTAATTTTCATTTGCATTTAAAGTTGACTTGTGGCATATGAAAATGTTTCTCTTTCAAAGGGAATATGTAAAACGCTTGAATAAATAAAATTGCATTAAAAAGTGAAATTTGAAAAAAGTGTGACTTGTATATATATAGAGAGATATGTATATGTATATATATAGAGAGAGTTGCAAAAAACCCTTTTTTTTTCCTTTGGCGTTTTTTGGGTCAAAATAACATGTTTTTGTTGTTGTTGTTTTTTGCGTTTTTTTGGTTTTTTTAATGGTTTTCCAATATTCTAGTATACTTTTAGTATATGACCATTAAAAAGCACAATTAGATGTATAAACACCAATTTAACAAAAAATTTTAATAACAAAGTTAAATTAGCTTTAAGTTAATTATATATCTAGGCATACTGAATCAAATGTTTATTTTTTGCTTTGTTGTACTTACAACTGTGATACTCTCATTATATATAGAAATTATTTTTATCCTATAAGAAAGTTACCATTTTAATTTTGATAATGTAAATGTAATATTATATAATACCATGCAAATTTAATGTCAGACTTTAAATGCTCAAAAAAATAAGCAATCTATCGAGATAGATGTTTACTTATTTGAGCATTTGTGTATTGTGTAGTAATTTAATCTTGCATTGTTTGTTTGTTATGTTTGTCAAAAAATATATATCCCTAGTAGGCCTTTATAAAAAAAAAAGCCCTGTACTGAACTTAACTTCAAGGGAAATTTAAAAATTTTGAATTATTATTTACGGAATTTCCCAGACCAACTTCACCTGATGATTCGTGATTTATTTATTTGTAATTTATTTTTTATCTGCATTTTTTTCTAATTACATGATCTAGACATTTTTATATAGCACTATTTCATAACACTTGCAAAATTCTTTAACATACTTTGTTTTTCAAGTTCAATTTGTAAACATAATCTTATGGCAAAAGGATTGTTTAACTTTTTCCATTTTGCTAATTTGGTTCAGAGGTTTAAATAAATGGGTGACTAAGGTTTTATTTCTGCCCCCTGTATGGAGAGCCGTAATCATAATTGATTACCATCAAGAAAAACAAAAAGAAGTCACTCAATAATTTAAAGATATCCTTTCTTTTTATTTATATATATCTATGTATATATAGATATTATGGTGCTATAAAACCCCTTTAGTTAGAAAATCACTACTCAGTGTTTTTAATGTGGTGTCGTTTATCTTTTATGTTAATCTATTTTTAGATTCTACTGCAGAAATACTACAGTTTTTATATCAAAATTAAAAAACATGAATTTCTATAATATTCTTGATATCTTTGTTCAAATTTTGATTAGATTTATACAAAGTTTCCCTTTATTTGAGTAATAAGTTGACCTTTTAAATATAAATATTTTTGAAACAATATTATGAACCTGTTGAATAGAAAATAAGCTTAAGCATGAACTAAATATTAGACAAATAAACTTAAATTAAACTTGAATTATTTTCAAAAAATAACCACAGCACATAAAAAAAACTGAGTTCTGATTTTTTATCTAAATGGGAATTTTAAATATATATATATATATATATATATATATATATATATATATATATATATATATATATATATATATATATATATATATATATATATATATATATTATATATATATATATATATATATATATATATATATATATATATATATATATATATATTATAATAATTTATTCAGGACTTCTCTTAATTGTAACTAAAAGTGAAAAGATGACAACTCTAATAATCTTTATCATTCCTTCCCATGAATAAATAGGCTAATACAAGGGCGGATCCATAGTGAGGGAAAGGGTCATGTAATTTAATAAAATTTTGTGGTGCAAATGTAAAATTGTATTAAAAAGTTAATAGGATACAGGGTGCAACAAATCGACAAATGTGCGCGCATTTGTTAAAAAACAGACAGAAAAACAAACATGTTTCTTTAATTTTGCTTATTCAAATGTTGCCGTTTGATTAAGATTTTTCAAAATGAACGCATTACTTCAGCAGTTTTTTCAAAATAATTTTGTGATCAATAGTTTTTTATTTATAACAAAAAACACATATTGTGATGATTTTTTTAATTTTTTTTATTTTCCTTATAGTGAAAAAATGTTTGTTTGCATATTAAAAACTCTTTTAAAAGTTTTTTATTGTGTGTTAATCATTAATTTGCGCGCGCTTTGCAAATATGTAAAAAAAAAAGTTTTTGAAAAAAAGCAATTGAATAAATTTTTATATTTTTTATAACTTTGTTATATTTGATAACTTATTAACTAGAATAAAAATTATTTGAAATTTGTTTGACATAAATCTCTTAAAGTAGACGTTCGTCAATAAATAAAGATACGCAAGTCAACGTTCATTAAAAAAAAAAAACGGTGTCACGCCCTGGTATAAAAAATATTTTCCAAATGCGACTGTTTCAAGATTATTTTAATTATTTTTTTTAGTAAGTAATTTCTTTATTAGAAATTATATTTCCATGATAAAACGGTTTGTAATTATTTTTTGATAGCTTCTGTACTCATTTTGCTATAAACTCTAATCTGAATATTTTTTTTAACGATTGCTTTTATTGAATTGCATTTAAAGTACTCAGGAAATTTTGTGGCTGTTTAATTGTAATTATGGAATCAATTAAATTAAAAATCGCTTTTAAATTTGCTTTTTAGCACATTTTTTAAACGCGCTCTTTGTAAAAACTTGCAAAGAGTCGTGTTCAAGTTGTAAAAACAAAGAACTATAAGGCGTGTGATCGCATGCCTCTTAAGAGAAGGCATATATATATATACATATATAAATATACATATATATATATATATATATATATATATATATATATATATATATATATATATATATATATATATATATATATTATTTAAATGTTCCTCTGACATTGGACGATGTGCTGACACTTTAGCTTTCATTAACCTTTAATTTCCGCGCTTGTTTTGCAACCTTAAACACCGCCCTTGGCTGCTGCAGCCAGAGAGTAAATATCAGACTTCAACATTTTAAGTTTAGTAGGAGTTGAAGAATCCATTATAATATAAATCATTTATTTTAAAGAACAACAAAATTATGTATTATTTATGGTTTCTTATGTAAAATATAAAAACAAAATAGCAATATTTCATGTCAGAGATAATTCTACGTCACTATTTACAAATATCACAAATAATTGACGAGTGCTTTCCACAAGTGTGTTTAGTGCACTTGGAACATCTTGTAAAGACACGTCGCTGACGGAGCTGACACACATGACACGATTGTCTAATTTTGAGTAAGGTATCTTGCGGTGGAATATTCTGTTCTATAGACATAGAAGCAATGGCGCGTCTAGGGCCAAGTTGAAATGCCCCTCTCGGATGTTATATAATTCGGTGTTCCATTGCTGTTTTCATCATTTCCAGGCTCATTTTCAGCAAGAACTGTCGTCTTTTTGATCCACTATGATCACCTTCCCAATGTGGCTTGTTAAAGAGGAACAAAATACTGGCGTTAATGGTAGCAAGGTCGAGGAGATGGCTAAACATAGTTATTGGCCAACGCAGTGACTAGAAAGTATTACAAGATACAGATTTATTAAAATTATAAAAATCATAAGGAAAAAAACTATTGTTACTAAATTTTAGTCTGACCTTTCGCCGTGAAGTGCATGCATGAGCTAGTTGGTCACCTGTATTTATACCAAACTTAGTATTATTGTATTGAAGGATCGAAAATGGTTTTCGATGCATTTCTTCTGACACTTCAGTAGATGTGTGGGGAGTAGACAACATGATAACAACCTTGTTAGTTTTTGGAATGTAACTTGCTAGCTGCATTTTTTTCAGAATACACAGTTATAGAATCAAATTGAGCTCGAAGAAGAAGTAGTTAGGAAGCGATATCTGGTTTGTTACGATTTAGGGTTCCGAGGAGAGTGAGGTTCCGTAGGAGAAGTTCTTTGGCTAGCGGAATAAGTGTGAAGAATTGGTCAGTTGTGATATTTCTTCCACTACCATGAATTGGTTCAGTTAGCTGTAACACCACTCGTTTCCCTTGCCCTACTTCTCTTTCCCTAGCAATCATTCCTAATCTCAGCATTATAAAAGTAGCGAGACTTTGAACAAGTTAACGCCCATACTTTGATGCCATATTTGTCAGGTTTTTTTGGCATGTAAACTTTAAAAGGCATTCGCCCACGTGTTGGAACTATTTGTTCATCAACACAAACCATATCGGAAACTATGAAGCATTAGCGACAACGTTTGAGAAACTGCTCTTATATTTTTTTTTTTTTGAATTTTAATTCACCTCCTCAAGGCCGAGAAGGCCACTACAGACGAGGAGGCTACTTATTTGTGGCTATAACCCTCTCTCAACTCTATAACTCCGAAACACAAACCTTGACGAACAAGGCCGCTGCGCGGAGAAACGAGTTGAGCGCGGTACTACCAAGGACGTGGTGGAGATCGAACTCGGAACCACTCGTTTATGAAGCGAGCGCTCTATCACTACACCACTACCGCATTTATGTCTCTAAAAGCTGCTAATTTATCACGTTGATTTTTTCTTGTAGTCAAATCTCAGGAACTTTGTGATTAACTCAAATCTTTCACGAGACATTGTGGCTATGTAGGCAGATATTCCAATTTCGTCACTCCACAAGTCTCTGAGAAACACGTTGCGTTGTCTCAAAGCACCCATAAGATAAAATATGCCAAAATATCCAACCAGTTCCGGCTCTGTTATGTCATACCTTAGGAGACCAATAAAAATATGAAAATTTATGTAAAGTATACACAATAATATGAACTTATCAAGACTTCATTATAAATGAAATCGAAATTATATTTTTAACAAATTAAAAGATAGCAGTTTATTGAAAACTAACCAGCATTGTGAAATATGTTGAGTTACTTCTCCAGCTCTTATGGCACGTTGGGCTTCTCGATTACTTTCATGAAGTATCCAGTCTTTCATTTCTGCATTTAAAAATTACTCAATAGCCTAATGTATTGTAGCAGAATTTGATTTTGGCTGCATTCGCTCCCTCACAATGTTTTCCTTGCCTCGTCTACCACGTTGCTCATCTTCTGCTGTTTTCCAAGTTCTTCCCTTGCGGCCAACATACTCTTCTCTAAACGGATCATGTTCTACTATATCTGAAACTTCGTTTTCATTGTCAAAAACGTTATCTTCTAATTCACTTCCGGAAGATTCATTTTCCAAATCAAAATTTGCCAGACGTTCAAATATATATTCATTCATTATATTTTTCTAATTGTGTACTAAATGTATGGAATAAATATATACAATCCATATAATTTGTTGTTATGTATAATGAAAACATTTCAGATTACAGTGTATTTCATTAAATAACTAGTCTAAAGTACATAACTCATTATATATCTTTTATAGTTATGGCTGCATCAGCCAAGGGCAGTTGCAATGAAAGTGTTATATTTGAGATGGGGGGCAGGCTGTTACCCAGCAGTAGAGTGATCAGTGTTATATGCGAATTTGAAGGCGAATTTGAAGGCTAGTTCTTCAAAAGTTGTGTATCGTTGTCATGAAACCACTTCTTGACTGATTTCGCAAAATGACACTGCCGAGTCTTGTTAAAAGATTGTAGTTTCAGAAATGTTCATATGTGTCTTAACCTTTGACTCTAAAACCTGTATATACTTTAGAGCATTGACCTTATTGGCCTTACCGAAGATGTGGATTCAGCATCTACCCTTAGCTGAGATAGCTCCCCACACCATAATAGATAGCGGATGTTTAACGTTCTTCAGAGTGTATTTAGGGTTGAGTCTTTCACCTACCGGTCGACGAACATAATTGTACCCTGAACCACGAAGCTGCTGGAAAGTACTTTTGTCAGTAAATATCACAGTAGTCCATCACTTAGCAGTTCTATCCTTCATATCACGACAGAATTTCACACGTGCCTGAAGCTGCTTCTTGGTGAGAAATGGCTTCTTTGCTGGTCTATGCGCATGCAGTTTAAATTCTGTAGACAGACGTCAGCGAACACTTCTGGCACTAATATTAATTCCACTTTCCTTGGCCAATCGGGTAACTCGGGCAGAGGAAGTGTGAGGACTAGTTTGCACAATACTTTTCAGGTATCGGTCATCACGGGTTTAGCGAACGCCGTGGCAATTTTGATGTCTAGAACTCCCATGCAATTTTATAACGTTTTGTACATCTTGATATTTCTAGACGTTTACTAATGACAACTTGTGAGTACCCTTCACCATGCAAAGTTATGACTTGATCTTTAATAAAATCACTCAAATCTGCCTTTTTACCCATATTTACTTTATTTAATTTATTTTCTATTTACTTTAAAAAAAGAACTTTAATAAGCTTTGATGACGTCTTTTAAACAAAAATATGCGAAAAATTTTAATTTGATTCATTTAATGATGTTGACATATAATACTTTGCATATTTAAGAGGTATATTCAAAGTTATACTAAATTTATTCAAAAACCGTAAGGTGCCTTAATTCAATGGCCACTACTGTATGTATGTATGTATGAATATATATATATATATATATATATATATATATATATATATATATATATATATATATATATATATATATATATATATATATATATATATATATATATATACGTATATATATATATATATATATATATATATATATATATATATATATATATATATATATATATATATATATATATATATATATATATATATATTTATATATATTTATATATTATATGCGGTAGTGGTGTAGTGGTAGAGCGCTCGCTTCATAAACGAGTGGTTCCGAGTTCGATCCCCACCACGTCCCTGGTAGTACCGCGCTCAACTCGTTTCTCCGCGCAGCGGCCTTGTTCGTCAAAGTTCGTGTTTCGGAGTTATAGAGTTGAGAGAGGGTTATAGCCACAAAATAAGTAGCCTCCTCGTCTGTAGTGGCCTTCTCGGCCTTGAGGAGGTGAAGTAAAATAAAAAAAATATATATATATTTATATATATATATATATATATATATATATATATATTTATATATATATATATATATATATTTATATATATATATATATATATTTATATATATATACATATATATATATGTATATATATATATACATATATATATATATATATATATATATATATATTTATATATATATATATATATATATATATATATATATATATATATATATATATTTATATTTATATATAAAGCTTTTAACAAAGTTTGGCATACTGGTCTTCTCCATGAGCTTGTTTCAAATTATGTATCTGGGATTATCAAATCATTTCTTTCTAACTGCTTTATTAAAATCATCCTTGAAGACCTACTTATTTATTTTCAGTATCTTCTGGGGTACCTTAAGGTTCTATTCTTGGTCCTGTTTTGTTTCTTATCTACATTATTGAGCTTCTCGATAACCCACGTCTAAAGTAGCTCTTTTTGCTGATGACTCAAGTTTTTACTTCTGTCTTGACAAAAAGTCTTCTCTTTTTGATCGCTTAGAACAAACAGCCAATTTTGAATCTGATCTCACTTCTGTAGCAAATCGGAGCTCACATATTTTGGCTTATAAATTTTAACTCTAGCAAAACTCAGTTCTTTACTGGAAACAACTACCAAAATACAGGTTCGGCCAGAAAGGCGCTTGATTTCATTTAATAGTATGACAACGCAAATACTATTTGATTTTACTTAACTGGACCGTGGCTGTTAAAATGTTTTAAAAATTTGTATACGTTTTAAAAACGCGCTAAAAAAATTAAATCAAAACTTAACTTAACTATAAAGAAAATTAAAAAAAAAAACTCATCGTTAAAGAAGCAAATAAATCTTCGTAAAAAAAAAATAACAAAGAACAAAATTATATAATTTAATAAAACTAAAATAGCAAAATGAACTTAACTGGAATAAATAGTAAACTATTACGTTTGGAATAAATAACTTTGAATCGTTTATCTTTACAAATGTTATAGTAATATAATATTATGCAAAACCCTATTTAAATAAAGTAACAACTTACAATTGACGATTGTTTAATAAACACGCACATTTAAAAGTATTATTTTCGTGGACATATAAAGACATCTCTTTCTCTTTTTTATAAGTTCTATTATGGTCGCTGCTCAATAGAGTTATTATCTCTAGTTCCATCAAGAAAAACTCATTCTCGTTTGACTCGTCATTAAGCTAAGTCTACATCAGGGGCGGACTGGCCATGTGGAAGATGTGGACTATTCCACATGGGCCGTTTTCATAATCTCATAAAAATGTAAAATTCAATAAAATATATAAAAAAATAATTTTTTTTTCACTTATTACTAACGGTTATATACTACATTAATTTTGCCTATTTAACATTATTCAATTTGTTAATGTTACGATAAAAGTGTAGCCAGACGCAATAAATTATTTTTTATATTCATTAATGTTTATATTCTTTAATAATAAACCCGGGTTATCTGTCTCCACAGAGCTCCGTTTCTAGCCGTCTATCCTTGTGCCTTTGAAAATGCAAACGCAAATATTACATATTTTAGTTCAGTTGCATTTTAACGTTATTTGAATTGGTGTATGATATTATAGTTTGTATGTGTTGAATTACTTCGTATTCTTCATTTTTTATTCTGCTTTCTGTTTTTTAAAAATAGTAAGTTAAATTAAATTTATATAATTATTATTACTAGAACTATTTTAATTTCCTTATTTTTTATTATTAATAACAGTATTACATATAATGGATAAAAATGAAAAAAAGAAAGTTTTGGGAGGGACGGAAAAACTTCGTTTACGACGAAAACGCGAATTAGAGTCCGTGGCGCGAACATGTCACACGATTGATAAAATGTTTAAAATACATGAAGACATGCCTTCTTCAACCGCCTCTACCAGTTCTTTAATTCATCCTGAACTGGAAAAAATAGAAATTGATCATGTACAACAAAATAAAGAAAAGGAAAAAACAAATGAAGAGAAAGAAAATACAAATAATGCTTTTTTTAGAAAACCTCACAACAATAATATTGAAGAATTTTTTAATTATCATCCGAAACAACCGGTTCAAAACGTTCCATTTAACAATAAAATATATTTTCGTAAACACGATCAGCAAAATCGCCAATGGCTATCCTTTTGCGAAGATAATAACAAATTATATTGTTCAATTTGTCTTGCGTACGGTGGGTCAAACGAAAATATTTTTACTAAAGGTTTTTCCAATTGGGACTATGTTCATCAGTACATTGAAAGACATGAAACAAGTAAATTTCACGATGAAAATGTTATGAATCATTTTATGCGCTCAAAAAATACTTTAAACATAACAACACAATTTCGATCATTACGAAAAGAAAATATCATGTTCAATAGAAATGTGCTAACCAGAGTAATAAATGTAATAAAATTAATAGGCAAAAGAGGTTTAAGCTATAGAGGAAAGAGAAACGAGAGCCTCTATACATTTGATGACGATAACGTAGATCATGGCACGTTTATAGAAATCATTATTTTATTAAGCAAATATGACGATACACTGAAAAATCATTTACGAAACTGTATAGAAAAAAGTAAAAAAATTCATGAATGTGGAAAAAGACAAGGAAGGGGTAACTTAATTAGTTTTTTATCCAAAACTACTGTAAATTACGTAATTGAAGCAATTTCTCAATTAATAAAAAATAAAATTTCACAACAAATTAATGACTCTGGAATGTACAGTATCCAAATAGACACTACACAAGACGTAAGTGTGCAAGACCAGTGTGTGGTTGTTGTGAGGTATATTAATAATAATAATATTAATGAAAGACTTTTATCCACCATTAATATGGATTCATCGACTGGTGAATCATTTTACAACGTTGTAAAAGAACTTTTAGAAATTAACAATATCGATATAACAAAATGTATAGGTAATTCTACGGACGGTGCAAGTAATATGCAAGGCAAATATCAGGGTTTTTCTGCTCACATGTTAAAGTCAAATGCTGAAAATGTGCACGTATGGTGTTATGCACATATTTTAAATTTAGTTATATCTGACATTACTCAATCTTCCATAACGGTTGCTACATTATTTAATTTGTTAAATTTAATTGCTGTTTTTATTAGAGAATCATACATCCGAATGAATATGTGGAATTATTTTAATAAAGATAATAAAAGAAAGAAATTGAATATAATTGGAGAAACACGATGGTGGGCCAAAGATGCTATCCTTAAAAAAATATTTGGTAACTATAACAACCCCAAAGATGGATTATTTGTGGAATTAATACTGACGTTAAATGAAATTTCTTTAAAACCTAATTTTAAAGCAGAAATTCGCCAAAAGGCTAAATATTTTATAGATTCTCTAACAAAATATGAAACTATTAACTGCTAAATTATTTTTAAAAATTTTCGAAATTACAACGCCAATTTCCAACTATTTACAAGAGAAAGGTTTAGATTTTATTAAAGCTTACAATATGATTTCCTGTGCAATTCAATCTCTAAAAGAAATATCAAGAAATTTCTGTGTAATTAATGAAGTTTCGGATGAATTTGTAAATTATGCCAATAATAATTTAGATGAAATGGAATGCGATGTTATGCTGGAATCTAAATTACCAGAAATTAGGCGACGTCAGAAAAAAATAATGCCCGGAGAAAAAGCTTTGGATGAAACTACTTCGAATGCGTTGAAGAATTTTGAAGTGAATGTGTATAATTTTGCTATTGACATGGCTGTTCAAAGCATGGAAAATCGTTTTTCAAAAAATCAGTCATTTTATTATGACATAGGATGTCTGGATCCAAAAAATTTTACGGAACCTACTCCCAGTAACGCTTTCGAAAAATTAAGCAGTGTTTTAATAAAGTTTAACCCAATTGCAACAAAACAAAATCTTATTGAAGAATTAAATAATTTTAAAAAAAATTGGAATCTTTTGAAAGAAAATGTAAACGACTCATTTAGAAAAGTCTCAGAAGATAATGTAATTAATGATAGTGATGATGATGACAACGACGATGATAATGACAAAACTATTTCGCCCTCTCATTGCGGAGCTTGTAAAAATTGTCCAATTTGTTGTTATAATATTTTACAACGCTACAATATGTTAAGCGGAACATACGCTACACTTGGACAAGCTTATAAGTATTTATTAACTTTGTCTGTGACTCAAGTGTCCTGTGAACGAAGCTTTTCTATTTTAAAATATATAAAAAATAGACTTAGATCAACCATGTCTCAAGAAAATTTAGATGCATTTATGCTGATGGCAGTGGAAAAAGACTTATTAAACAGTATTGATTCTGACGACGTTATTAATCTTGTTGCAAAAAAAAGCAATTTATTGTTTGAGAAATTAATGTTGTAATTTGTGTTTGTATTTTATAATTGTTAATTATCCTTGCTTTACAGTATTATATATTTTTTTATTGTTAAGTACTTTGTTTTTACGTATATGTATTCTAATAAATTTTTTCTGTTCGATATTTATTCATTAATGTATATATTTATAAATTAAGCATAACTTTGTAATTTACGTCTGTTATCTTTGCTGCTTTTCCTCATTTTTCGTTGGCCTACAGGGCCGTTAAAAATATTTTTCCACATCATAATAATTTGGCCAGTCCGCCCCTGGTCTACATCACTTATTGTTAAATCTAATTAAATATTATAAATGTAAATAAACAATGTTTATTGTGTCAATATACATTAAAACCAATAAAGATAAAATTGAGGAAGATAAAATCTAAGAAGTTTTTATACAGGACTGCTTCAACCTTGTTAATCTTTAAGCATACCAAACAAAAAATAATTTCAGTAAATTTCAGTATTAATTGTCCTATTTAAATTAGAAATTAAAATATGAACTAAGGTATTGCCATTAAAGTTAAATTTAGTAGCTTAAAAATGAATTTTTAAATATTTCCAAAAAAAAAAAAAAACGGACCCCTGCATTTTTTTTCCAAAAAAAAACGACCAAAAAACCGAACCAAAAAAACATTTCAATATATATGTATATATATATATATATATATATATATATATATATATATATATATATATATATATATATATATATATATACACACATATGTATATATGTATATGTATATGTATATATATATATATATATATATATATATATATATATACACACACATATGTATATATGTGTATATATATATATATATATATATATATATATATATATATATATATATATATATATATATATATATATATATATATATATATATATATATATATATATATATATATATATATATATATATTAGACAATAGATAATCGGTCTCGAGTCTCGATTTCTTGTCTAGTATCGGTGCGATACCATGCAGTATCGGTATCGAAATCAAATCATATTGCCTAACTAATGATTCATACAGCAAACTTGTAAGCTGTTTACCTTGCAAGTATGTTACAAGCCTCAGGCATTTTGCAGAGGGCAGTTAAGAATCAAAAGGTGCATACTAATATACACTTGGATGTTATTATAATAATATTATACCAGGGTGGCCAGCCAACTGGAAATCATGAAAAAGTTAGGGAATTTTTTTCTAGTCAGGGAAATCAGGGGAAAATGTCTTTTTTGAAAATTTAATTTTTTTTAAAGTTTTTTTTTTTACTTACTCCCAAACAACAAAACCCACTTTAAAATATAACTGAGTCAGGGAAAAATATAAAAAGTCAGGGAATTTAATTGTTGAATTTGGCTGGCCACCCTACATACATAATTTATATATATATATATATATATATATATATATATATATATATATATATATATATATATATATATATATATATATATATATATATATATATATATATATATATATTTATGTATATTTATCTCACTCTCCATGAAATAATCTGAACATATAACATCAGATTTACTCGGTTTTTAATAATCAATGCATTTATAAGGTTTTTGCATTTTTTATTTATCAAGCGAAATCTGAGTTTTAAGCGCATTTAAGATTAACGCAACTACGCATTTATAAGTTCTGGGGCTTTCCAATATGGCGTCTTTTGGCTTCAAAAATTTTGAAATTTTATTAGGAGATGCGCTATCCAGTTATTATAGAGATCAGTGTTAGTAATTTGAAATTGTAAATTCGTATAATTAATGAGATACATAATGGCTCGTTTATTATAAAAAAAAAAATTCTAAGCTGGTTGTATGACATCATGTTTATCATTTAATTTCTCATCTGGTATCTTTGTTTTAATTTAAATAATTGTGTGTTACCACTTCTGTATTTTAATTTCTCATCTGTTATCCTTATTACAATTTTTTCTACCGTAATTAAAAGGAAAGAAAAGATTTTTTTAACATTTACTTCTATATTAAATTTTTACAAATAATTAAATTATGTTAAACGTGTGTAAGGGGCGAACAAAAAAATAAGGTAGGGTGGGTGGTATTCGGGGTAACTAACCTCTGACTCTACCTAAGAAATGTCAAACTTCAAAATATTTTTGATAAAATTAAAAAAATAAGTAAAAATACAAAAAACTTATAACCATTCAATATATTTATTATTACTGACTATCTTATAACCTTTCTAAAATTATTCTAAATATCAAATGAAACAGTTATTTTATTTAAAAAAAAGCGAACCTAATTTTTTATATTTTTTTTAGTCCGACTACTCCCCTAGAACAATGACCTGGATCAGCCCCTGCAATGTATAGTTTCCCATATCGTTACTCCAACGCTATCGAATTTTTATTCCATTCAAGCAAAAATTTTCTGTGCGGAAATAATCTCCAAGGGAATAGTTTTGCAGTGTTTTTCATAGCGCACTTGATTCAGGAACGTAAGATCCGTGGTTCAAACCCCAACTCTCGACAAGTTTTGCGACATCGGTTGGGAAGGAGGCGTGAACTTCCTATTAAATGCTCATTCGCGGTGCTCTGTGATAAGACCGTAAGGACTTCTTGGGACACCTAAATCAACATTAAAAAAAATATATAATTCTCCAAAGAAAGTTGTTTGTGATGCAATGGTTAATGATTATTCTAAACGAGTATTAGAAATGGTTGTTCAAAGTTTTTTAACTTTCATTAAAGAGAGCTTTTCATATGATTCTCCAAAGAGAATTGCTTGTGATGCAATCGTTAATGATTATTCTAAACGCTTATTAGAAATGATTGTTCAAAGGCATTGATTTCGTAACAGTCATCACAGTTATTTTAGTTTAATTAATTGTGTGATACTGCATTTATTTTAATTCATTTTAACTTCTCTTTTGGTATCGTTACTTTATTAAATCTCTCGTGGTATTGTAATTCTCGCCTGGTTTTTGTTCTGTGTTCAACATTCAACTAAACTTTAGTTTTAAACAATTAAATATAAGTATATTTTAGTTATTACAGAAAACTTCACTCGTTATGCATTTAACAACATCTTTAATCTGGGATTATTTCAAGAAAAATATAGGTAAGCACTACTTACTAAGTATTCTTTATACTTTATCTCAAAAGGTAATTACCGGGAAATAATTCTAAAACTAATTACCGGCAAAATTATTATTAAATATAATACCGAGCGGATAAAGTTATGGCATATAAGCATGGAGTTCTAGGTTCAAGTCTTTCATGGGAATTAAACTTTCTTAATTTTTTTTTTAACTAAAAACGTAGATTTTTTTTACGCTTTTACGTTATAACTATTATTGTTTGTTAACTATTAGGATTTAAAAAAATTAGTTTAATTGGTTGAGCAATAATTCTTAAATCGCAAAGCACAGTGTGCTAAATTGATTGCCAGGTTGTATGTCGGCCCACTCTGAATTTTTTTTTTTTTGTTTTAAACAAAGATAACTACAACTAATTGTTAAAAAAAATTAAATTCACGCCAATCAGTCAAAGGGTCTTTTTTTGGTAATAATATTTTTTTTGGTATGAAATTATTTAACTCCTTCGACATTTTTTAGAAGTAAAATTTACAGCAAATGCCCCAAAACTTATTTTTGTCTCAGGTCCCAAGTGAGTTTGAAGCGTTCCGGCTCTGTTGTATTTAATAAAAATAAAATAAAATCATAATAAAAAAATAAAACCATTTTATTTGTTATTAGAATCAACATTACTTTTCAGGAGAATCTGCTTTATGTAAACACAACATAGGAAGTTATTCGTCGAACTTCAAAAAAAAAGAAGACGAGCGGAGATCATAAAGAAATGAAAAACTAAACGTAATCGAGGCAGGTGCTTCTGGATTCGCAAAAGATGTAGCCTTAAAGACTCTCACTCTCCCGAAGAAGGCGTTACAAAAAAGTGGCCACTTCAAGATCAGCGTCAATTAGTAGTTGATCATGACATCATTACTTTGATTGCTACTGAGTGTTTGCCGTTCAGTTTTGCTGATTCTGAAAATTTTAAGGGGTTTATGAACAAAATTTTACCAAATTCTACAATAAAACATTCAACAACTTTCTCAAAAAATAAACTCCTTCTTTACCATGCACTGAAGGTAGTAATGCATGAAGATATGGAAAAAGAGCTATATATATATATATATATATATATATATATATATATATATATATATATATATATATATATATATATATATATATATATATATATATATATATATATATATATATATATATATATATATCAACCCTCAGAAATTAGGAAAAAGGAGGTTGGCAATAATTTGCCGATCTTAATCTTTTAGAGGTCTACAAAAACTATTATTAAAATATAGAAACAAGATTGGAAATTTTTTGCAAACCTCAAACACTTTCAGGTAAGCAGTTAGGTCATTTAGAGTCGGCATTGCTGAATGCCGACTCTAATTCTGAGAGTTGATATATATATACATATATATATATATATATATATATATATATATATATATATATATATATATATATATATATATATATATATACATATCAGTCACTGCTAAAAGTAAACTTTCAGTGTAATCAAGCTTCAAAAATCGTTGACCTTTAAAAAATCTTGTAAATTTCAATTTGTCAAAATTTAGATTTTTTTAATTTAGTTTTATACTATGGTAAGAAATCTAAATTTGCCAAAATTTAGATTTCTAACCATAGTATAAAACTTGAATATTTTTATTATTGTTAAATCCTATTGAAAATATGAAGCAGCTGTTTAAAATGCCTATTTTATTATAAGCCGCATTAGAATTAAATATATTTTTATATAAATTATCAAAAATTCAACAAATAAAATGATAATTTAAAACTAGATGCAAATAAGGTATAAATAGTTTTTTTAATTCAAGTTTTCCACGATTGCATGGAAAATACTTGAATTTTCAAAATATTTTTGGTAGCCTCAGTTTTAAATGAACCTTTTTTTTTATTATTAAATTTTTCAAATTTTCAAAAAAGTGATTTTTTTTATTATTAAATATATAAACTGTTAGGTTTTTAAATATGCAAAAGTAACTATTATCATTTTTGATTTGAGAGTTTTTTATCTCAAGTCTTGATGTTATAAAACTTTGTGAAATCAAAAAAAAGAAAACAGGAGTTTGCTACTGAAAAAAAAAGTTATTAAAAGATTGTCAGAGCAAGATAACAAAAGAGTGTGGTAACAAGATTGTCAGAGCAAGAGTGTGGTAACAAGATTGTCAGAGCAAGAGTGTGGTAACAAGATTGTCAGAGCAAGAGTGTGGTAACAAAAGTGAATCTCAATTTTATTGAAATTGTGTCAAAGCATTTTTAGTTGTATTTTTAATTATTAAATGAAAATTATTTAGATTAAATTGAAAAAATCACGGTTATTTGCAAACTGATCAATGATTAAAAAAATAATATTATTATGAAAAAAAAAATGATTATTATGAAAAATTACTTTTTCTAAATACAGATGATTATTATTACATATTAAAAATGAAGATTATTATAAAAAAAAATGATTACTTTTTCTCGATAATACAAAAATTACGATTCATCACATTTGCCTCCACTATCCCGGTTTCAGTTTTATTTTTCAACTCTGACAATTGTGAAAATCAGGCCCTTTTAGCTTATTGGTACTACTGGTAGTTTGTTACTAAGACTGACTTTTCAAAGTTTTGTTATTAAAATTTACTTATTTTTAATGAAGTTATAATAATTGAAAATGAAAGTAATATTATTGATTACACTGTATAATTAGTCTATGTATTAAATTGAGGTATATTATGGAAAGATCTAAATTATTTGTAATTAAATAGTTACAAATTAACAGCAGAGATAATTTAATTATGGCCGGAATTTGTTTTAGATCTAATATCATTATATTCTACATTTGGAGTTCAAATATCATCAACAAGATTTTATGCTCGAACAGATGAACTTCTTGAAATACATCAAGCCATGATTGAATTATCAAAATCACAAAAGTCATTTTTGGTTATTACTGGCATGACTGGCATTGGAAAAACTCAGCTTGTACGAAAATATATAGAAGTTTATCGTAAACATTATGATAATTTTGTGTGGATAGATGCTGCATATGGTAAAATAAATATGTCAATAATAAATCTTTGTTATAAATTAGGAATCAACTTCAAAGAGACTTATGATTTGTGTCTTCCCATAGAGGTAGTTATATCTAAAATCCATAATTACTTTAAAAGTAGTAAAACATTATATGTCTATGATAACGTTGATGATGCAAGTGTCAAAAATTTTGTAAAATATTTACCTAACCAACCTAATTTGTATACTTTAGTAACTTCACAATGGAGGTGTTGGTCTCCAGAGGCAATTATAATCCAAATTGAGCCTTTCTCTCCTCAAGATGCTTTTAAAGAAGTGTATATCTACTGAAGATGATAAGATATTAAAAAAAATAACTGAAGTGAAAAGGTATCATCCTCTCGCACTACACCAAGCTATAACATATATAAATAACACACATGTCTCTCCACAAGAATATTTAGATTTATTTAAAGATAACCCAGTAGATATACTTGATGAATTTATTCATACTGAACAAGATGCCAAATCAGCAGTTCTATCGATCAGAATTATTTTGCAAAAACTTAAAATCAATCACGAAAAACTTTCTTTGCAAATCCTAAAATTTTTATCATATTGTGATGGTAAAAATATAACAATGACGTTTGTTAAACAGATTTCATTTCATTTAAAACAAAATGACAGGGTCAAGATCTACCATGCAATTAATGTTCTGAAAAACTTTTCACTTTTAAGTGATTGCTGCGATTCCAATTTAAACAAAGGTTATCTTTTGATGCATGATATAACACAAATAGCATGTTTCCATTTTCAGAAAAACAAACAAAAGTATTATAATATAGTTGTCTCATTTATAAAACAAAAATTAAATATGGTAAAAGATCATTACGAATATGGAATTGATTGGTACAAACATTTTTTACATATATTTTTGAAAAACAAAGCAAAGGTTGCTTGTGATTTTAATGAACATGCTGAAGAGATATTTTGCTTGTTGCAAAATAAGGGTTTATTTAAAGACATTCTGGCTATTTTGGAAGAAATTGAATGTTTCCAAACAGTTACCTATGGAAGAAACAATACTCTTGTTATTGATACAAAGCATCTTAAAGCACAATGCTTTTATAACATGGGGGAATTTGAAAAGGCATTTCCTGTATATGCTGAATTAGAAAAATTACGATCAAAATTAATTGGGAAAAATCATTTATCTACTTTAAAAGTAAAGCATAACAAAGCCCTTTGTATGGATGGTATGGGTGATTATGTTGGAGCTTTTAAGATATATTGTGCTATAGAAAAGCAGTACATGTCTTTAAATACAGTTGGTAAAAAACATCCTAAAACATTAGAAACCAAGCATAACAAAGCAAATTGTATGATTAATTTAGGTAAATTCGATGAAGCGTTACAAGAGTATCATGAACTTGTAAAACTAAAAATAGAAGTTTTAGGTGAAAATGACCCATCAACATTAGATACAAAGCATAACTTAGCCCTTTGTATGGACTGTTTGGGTAGGCATCATGATGCATACCAAATGTACTCTAAACTTGAAGAGGTGAAAATTAAAGTTTTAGGAAACAGTCATCCATCTACATTAAAAACAAAACATAATAAAACAAATTACTTTATCAATACGGGTCAATATGATAAAGCTTTTCAGGAATATATTGAAATTGAAAAATTATTAGTGTTGGTTTTAGGTGAAAATCATCCTTTAACCTTAGAAACAAAACATAATCTTGCTTTTTGTCTGGAAAAAATGGGTAAATATGAAGAAGCATTACATATATACACTGAAGTAGAAAAACTGCGAAGTGAAATTTTAGGAAACAATCACCCAAAGACATTGATTACACAACATAGTATTCAAAAAGTTACATCATGCAAAAATAATATGCGTAAAAGTAGTGTTAGTGATAATATCAAATTCAACAAACAAAAATTAACAGAGTGCCATTCTCAGTGCATTGAAGAAGAGCATTCAATGACATATAAATCAAAAAGTATGCGAAAATTATTTGGTTGTTATTGTTTACGAAGATATACAAAAACTTTTTCAAAATCAAAAAATTGTTCATTAGAAGTTTTTTCGTCTATTTAATCTTTGATTTTACATTAAACATTACAAGCTTCTATTTCTAAAATTTTTTATATAAGAAAAACAAATATTTATACCTATATTTTTAAACACATTTTTAAACTTTAATTTTTTCAACTTTTACATTATATTGTTATTAAATATGAAAAAGTAAAACAAAATATACATACATACATACATACTTATTTTTTGTTTTTTTCATTTAATTATTTTCCTGTGGAAATTTTTTTTTTTGGAGGGGGGGGAGGGGGTTCCGACCCACTAACCACGACACTGCATACATTCATGGTTTTTAAAAAAAGAGAAAAAAAAAATAATGAAAAAAAAAAGATGCTGTTCTAGCCCTTAGTGTATGTAGCGGGCACTCTTGCATGTTATACATAATTGTCAGTCGATGTATTTACTGAAGCCTTAGGCAGCTGGCTATTTCAGTATGAAATCAGACTATTAACCTAAATACGCTTTTATTTAGTATTTACTTAACATTAATAGTATTTATTTAGAAGCGTTATATACAGTTTACGTACAAAATGGCGATTCGTCATTAGGCCACGCCAAATTCTTATCAATTTAAAGTTGTTTTTTTATAATCTTTTCTTTCACTTGATGGTATTATGGTTTATCCTCCGCCAGTCTTGTGGAGGCCACATTACCAAGGCCCGCAAAGGCAAGTTTAGTTTTTTTTAAATCTTTTTTTTTTTGAAAAATACTTTTTTTTAAATAAAATTGAAAAAAAACTTACAACATAGTTTTTTTTAATATTAATATAAAGATATACTACATATGTGGGAGGACGAGGGTGGCAATGCAAATGAAGTATTTGTACTTTATGTTCTTTTACTTTTATATAAAAAAAATTTCATCATTAAAAAAATATATATTTCGCACCTTTAATCAGGAAATACTCCATTTTTTTAATAAGGGTAAAAAGATTTAATTGCAAAGGTTTTGACGAACGCATTGCTAAATATCGTAAAGGCTAAAAAGTAGAAAATAAAATATAATATTTTTTGTACTAAAAAGTAGAAAATAAACTTTTTAATTTAATACATTTTTTAATATATTTTTGAGCAAATATTTTTGCTGTATTTTTTATAGTTATGATAGTTTAAGCGGACTATATTTAGAAGACATTAAGTCGTAATGAATTAGTGTAAAAAGCAAACGTCTTGGTGTAAATTAGGGATGTACTGAAGCTAAAATTTTGCCGAAGCCACTTTGCCGAAGCCGAAGCTTCGGCACTATATATGCTTAAAATTTAATCAGCATTCAGATCAGCAGGGGTGTAAAACAAAAAAGGTTCCAAAACTAAGATCCTTGACTAATAATATAGAAAAAATGTATAAAAATGAGGACACAAGTCAGAGTTGCTGCCCCAGGCAGGGCAAAAGCTCTCAGCGCCCCTGTTTGAAAGTTTCTCATTATGTCGTTTCTGATACTTTACCGCACCTAGTGTTTTTTTTTTAAACTTAAGCTTTTTTGAAACATTTTCCCCAAATTTTCCTACTTCTAATTCTACTTTTTCTGTGTGCAAACCATATTAATGTTATATAGTGTACAATATCAGTAACTCACATATAATTCCAACTATTCCCAATATTCTTCTAAGATTATTGCTATTTTTTTGATCTTTTATAGCCATACTGTTCTTCTATGTAAACATCGTTTCTCTTTAATCCTCTATCTAATCATCTAATTTTTAATCCTCTATTTAATCATCTTGTTTGCTCTATCTAATTATAGTGTGCTAGCTTAACATCCTCAAATTTTATTCCCCATAAATTACTGTTACGCATCTTTTCATGTGCTGTATATTTTATTTTTATTTTTAATGCATCTTTTGTTAAGAGTGGATAAAAATCTCTAATTATTACTCAAGTAAATTTATCTTTTACACTTGAACATTCTTTCTCTAAATAAACACTCTTAGCTGATCTAGTTGTATCTACAACATAAAAAATCTTACAAACACACTTTATCTTTTTATTGCTATTTATTTCAATATCTTTTTTTTGCTTCTCTGTATTCATTAAACGAACAATTTCTAAACTTAAAAAAACCCTAAGTTAAGACCATTTTGTATTCCACTACAGCTGTTGTGAACCTGCTGCTAAAAAAAAGTACAATTGATAGATTTCTCTCTAACTTCTTTTTTACACACTTTTAAGTTGTTGTTGTTTTTTTTTATTACTTTTAATTTTACACTACATAACATTTTCTTAAGCTTCTTTTAATCTTTTATACTCTGAAATTATAGTATTCATTCTTCTTCTGTCTCTGTAATGGATAAATCTGCATCAATATCTGAAATCAAATATTAACTATCTGTGACAAAAACTTCTATAGTAATCTAACAACTCAGTAGAGTGAGCGTTAAATAAAATAATAAATAGAATACTTTATAAATATTTTATTTATAATTATATTATTATTTACTTTATATTTATGAATAAACAGGAACTGAGCAGGCTGATATTTATTTGATTTAAATTGTTTATTTAATTTAAATAAATTTTGATGATAAATATAAGAGCTCAAAGTAATCAAAGCTTTAACCTTTAATTTATTTTAAATAAAATTTAAAAGTCTTCATGTCATAAAAAGAAACCAGAGTATAAATTTATATGTTTAATATATAAATTCAATTTAGAAGTATTCATAATATTAATAAAAGAGCAAGGATAATTATTATCATTGTTTTTCTTTTTCTTTTAATTTATATAGTTTTGGTTGACTTTTTTTTTCTTTTTTTATTCTCCTCATTTATATTTCATTTGCATTTCTTCCTTTTTTGTTGTTGAGAACTTTATGTTTTTTATGTGTCACTCCATTGACTAGTTTGTAACTATATAAGTGACACCTTACCAATTTCTGTAATCTTACGATGAAAATTTGTAAATTTTTATTATTATGGTTAAATAAAATTTAACATCACTTGGAAGCCTTCAAAGTGTATGAAGACCTTCCTTAATTTTACTATTATATTCAAAATATTTCTACTTATTTATTATCATCCTCTCCATAACAAGACATTTGGGAGTAAATAATACTAAGTATATGGTATAGACTCCAACTTTAACTCTGTAGTCCTGAATTTACAACTTAATTAGACACGGCTTCGGCCGAACCGAAGCTTCGGCAAAATTGGCGAAGCCGAAGCCGAAGCATGCCGAAGCCGAAGCTTCGGTACATCCCTAGTGTAAATAGCCAGTCTGGAATTTAAATTGCCCTTTGATATATTTAATTTTAATTGTTTAAGCGGACAGAAAACATTAGGTCGTAATTAATTGTTGTAAATAATATTTTCACCGCAAATGTAAAAAAAAATTAATTTTTTATTTAAAAAAAATATTAGTAGTTAAACAAAAAAATTATTTTTTTCATATTTGAAATTTTAAAACAAAAAATGCTTAGAAAAATTTAACTTTTTTAATTTAAAAATTTAATTTAAAGTTTAAACTTTTGATAATTTTTAATTTTAAGTTTTTTAGCTTTAACTTTAGATTAAATACGATTTCAAGATTTATTTAGATTAAAATTTTATTCTTATTTTGAAGGAATGTATGATATATCTCTCCTCTATGATGCTTTTTTGTTTTTAAAGAAGTATATATTTACTGAAGATGATAAGATATTAAAAAAAATAACTAAAGTGAAATACGTTTTATGTTTTTACGATTTTAAAAAAAAAAAACCTAATGTTGATCCAATATATGTATTTCGACGTTGATTCAATGTATTTAAACCAACGCTTTTCTAATGTATGTAAAAACATCGAAAAATTTAATTGTTTCTACGATCTAAACCCAACGTTGATCCAATGTTTATATCTCGACATTGATTCAATGTATTTAAATCAACGTTTTTCCAATGTATGTAATGTAAACTTTTTGCAATGTAAATACATTGCAAAAAGTTGATTGTTTTTACGAACTAAACCCAACGTTGATCCAAGGTATGCGACCAAACTTAGCAATTGCAAAATTATATAACTTGAATAAAATCTTCCGTGATTATTAAAATATCAAACCACAATCAACACAATCATGATTTTTGTTCGGATGATCAAGCGTGTTTAACCTCTTATTTATACATATATATACATAATTATGTCGGCTAAATATTTTTGGGTTATTTTTGAGTTGAATTCATTGAGTTGAATTCATTGAGTTGAATTCAGGTTAATAAATAAATTTTTGAAAAGAACCTATTTTAACCTATTGCACCTCCTAACATCGAGTGGAATCCTGTCCGCTTTCTCTATGCTATCTTTCTAACACGACTACTTCTGTCTTTCATTCTAACACATCTTCGTTCTTCCTAAATTCACTTTACTCTTGGTCCGTAGAGTGGGTTATGACGCTCCTTAGGGAGCCGAACCTGTCTTTGCGGGTCTTGGTAATATGGCCTCTATAAGGCAATTAGCCGGAGGAGGATAAACTACAATACCTATATACTTTTTTTTTTTTTTTTTTTTTTTTTTTTTTTTTTTTTTTTTGGTATATGCAAACTAATAATGAATTAAATATAACCGTCACTTCAATTAAAATATGGGAAAACAATGATTGAAAGAAAAAAATGTGGTAAAACTTAATTTTTTTATATATAGAAATGGAGAAGCGTTTTTGTTTAATTCTTTTTACAATAGATTTATTTTGGAATATATCTATAAATTGTTTCATAATCTTTAATAAAAATATGTTATTAAATATTGAAAAAAAAAATTGTGAGAAAGCAAACCAAACGTTATTAAGTTGGTTTTAAATAATAAGGAAAAATAATCTGTTTCTGTTAATACCTAAGTCTAATTTAATTTGTAATATTTGTTATAATTATATTGTTTAAAAGATATACACACGGTTTAAAATTAAATTTCATTACGATGCGGTACTTTTAAATGCGCTAATGACGTAATTTAACTTTTGAGGATTTAAGTTATGATAAGTAGGGTGTCCCAAAAAAAAAAAAAAAAAAGCTCTCTACTGATTCCCATTCTATGTGACCTAAACATGTCCTAAAAAAAGTTGGACGGTTTTATTTAGGCAGGAAGTGCTAGATGTAAAATCTAGTTTTACTGTTTTAATGTTAGGCTGGCTTTACATCAATAGAAAACACAATTTTTTTACATTTTAGA